CAAATGCTGCATATTTAGGCATGTCAATGAAAAATAACACAATAACACAACTCCAAGTATGTTTTTGAGCAGGAAACAGCATTCTAACATGACTTCGGTTCCTTTAAAGCATTTCAATCATATAGAATACATAGGAACAGGAGCTTTGGAGAGGGAATTGAACCTGGAACCTTTTCGTTCGGAGTTGAGACTGAAAATCGTGCCACTGTATCACTCAGTCTATACAACAGAGGTGCATTTGGGGCCATACGTTGCTGGTTTATATTTGTATGCGTTTTGTGTAGTGGGCAAATAACTTTTTTATGATTATTTGGAACTATACAATGCTTTTCACAAGGTTTACTTTGTTGAGATTGAGATTTTAAACCAACCAACCAAAAAAAAAGGCAGAATAGAAAATAGTGAAGATTGCATTCCAAAATCTCCCAGCAATGGTCGGAATGAGAGTGGCGGCTAAGTTGCAGTTATGAAACCCATCCAACTTTATCTGCTCAAAGAAAAGCTAAAAACTGCTCAAGGCAAAGAAAGTGGGAGACACAAAGCATTAGTGTCACCTGTTAGCGCTGAAGTGAAACCACAGCAGCCCATCCGGTATAAGGCCCTGCTCTGCTCTCTGTAAATAAGTCTGGGTTTTTTGTGCAAAAGGAGATTGCAACCTGCTATTATCTGATTAGTCTTGGTACTTAAAGGGTCTATATTGTACAAAATTGAGTCTTCTGAGCTTGTAAGCCATGTTATAATGTTGTTACCTCCTCAAAAACATAGTTAGATTTGTGTTTTGTTTTATGCCCTTTAGGAAATACATTATGGTAATGGATTGGTTTTGACAGAGTTTGGCTGACTTTAATCTAAAGACACATCATCTTCACTGCCAATAGTATGTGTATGATTCTAGCTCAATTACTCAACCTTCAATCTGATCTTGGATTAGTAGAAGAAAAAGTAATTATGGAGGTAGCTGAAGTTAAAGATGCACTATGTAACATTTCTGGTAGAGGGTCGGAGCTAGTCTTCTTAGAGTAGTTAATTGCCTGGAATGTTCCACTGTATGACATTAGACAAATTTACCATGTATTTACTGAATTATGGGTGTTTTTATTCCTCACTCCTTGAAAAACAGTTTTTTTTTTTCTCCCAGAGCTGACCGGTAACTTCCCAGCCTGATTCATCAGCCAGATTCACTTGACCTTGCAGTGTTAGAATTTGTTCGCTCGACGATAGGTGGGTACTTTTAAAAATTTAACCAGTCGCTGCTATTTGGACATGACTTATGAATGCGCCGCTAACAGGGCTAACTGGGATGTTAAGCTTTTCCCAAATCCCGTGGGAAGAAAGGAAATAACATCTTTCCCCTTGATAAAATTCACCAAACATTCTCTTTGTTCTGGCTTTAAATCCTCAATCTCAGGAATCGTTGACAACACAGAATGTATGGCTCTCCGCTGATTGGTTGCTGCCTGAACATGCACTTCCTGGGTTTTTGCGGACCTTCTAAAGCAGGGGTCTCAAACTCAAATTACCTGGGGGCCACATTAGATAAAGTCTGAGTGAGGCTGGGCCGCATTGAGTATTCGATAAATAGCGGTTGCACGGGAAAAGAGGAGAGAGAAAGAACAACACGCAACACTTTCTTAATCTTTAATAACAGTTCAGAACATGAAAATGTATTCAGAACGTAAGTTTAAACTAATCCGTCTACTCTTCTTCTTTTGCCTACTTCTTGCTGGTTGAAACCTGGCTACGATTCATCTTGTACAGCTGAGAGATATTTGGCTTGCAGGAGGAAGCAGATCCTCAGGATAGATTGAAGATGCTCATCAGTGAGCCTTGACCTGTATTAGGTGCTTTCACACCGACAGTATTTGGTGCGCACCAAACGATCCATTCGAACCAGAAGTGGTTAGCTCGGTTCGTTTGCGTTGGTGTGAAAGCGTCAATCGGACTCTGACCCGGACCAACTCAAGTGGGCCGAGACCTCAAAAAAGAGGTGGTCTCGGTTCGCTTGAATCCGCACCAAATGACCAACTTTGGTGCGGTTCTTCTGGTGTGAACGCGAACCCGGGTCCAAACCATAGACAGCAGGTCCAAACGAACTATTCTAGATGCATCATGGGAGAAACGCGTCTCCTTCTGCCTGAAATGACGCGCTGTACGACTCCAGCGCAGTAACAGATTGTTGTCCAGACGCAGCCGCGATTCATTTTCGAAATATTTTACCAACAATGGCCAATACAGAGAATGTAACACACGAAGATCAGAGCAAGTATCAGTGTGCGAACGTGTGGCTCCAGAGTGAGTCAAAATTGGGGGTGTGTACTTCTGTTCAGGACCTGCACAGAGGTCCCGGTGTTCCCCGTGATCATGTAGGAACCAGCATTTATTATTTTAGGCTTTAATTAACCAAATAATTTTATGGCAATAGGCAATCGCCCATTCAATTGATTCACCTTTAAAAAATGTCCTGCTTTTAGCCTAGTGTGAGAAATACAGTCGGACTAGATCCAAACCGGAGTCCCGAACCAGCGGGAGCAGCTCCGGTTCTGTCCGGGCTCAGATGACGTGGAGCGGGGAGTGAAAAGCGCTTTTCCCGGGAAGAACCAAATGCGGACACCAACTAAACTGGATTCACGTTCTGTCCGGATGCTTTGCACCACCTCGGAACCAGCCGCGGTTCTTGAGCTCGGAGGACAGGAGCAGCAGCGCATTCTCACTTCCCCGCACGGAACACGGAACCAGCGCGCAGACGGCGGAACGTACCCGCTCAGACCCAGTCATTGCGCACTGGTCTTGCTCGCCACCGTCTGGAACCAGCACATGGAGGACAGAGCCTCCGGACCATCTGACCAACGCGCTTGTAGGACGACAGAAGACCAAGGACCAGACTCCAGCGCCGTCCTGAGGAGCTGCGCGCTACGCTGAACGCTGTTGGCTTCTGCTGTTAACCGAACTCAGAACTGATGCGGTGAGTTTGTAGAAAGTTCTACGTTGCTGTTTTATGAGTTCGTGGTGATAATTTGAGATGAGGACGGCCCGCGGTATTAACAGGGAACATCAGTATTGGTTACTGGAGATATCGCTGTTCTACCGGGATACAGAGGCTCGTTAATCGGACCAGTTTTGGTTCGTTTGCCGGTGTGAAAGCGGACTACACTGGAGTGTATCTGCTTCTCGTATGTCAAACATGGATGGAAGACGCTTGTTTTTGCCTCGTACTTTTTGCTAACATGTCGCCAAGCCTCTGGAATAGATCACTGCAGTTTTGTGGTGCTTGTATATTGATGGGACAGCTGTGTTTGCCGCTGAGTGCGCGTGGATTTCGGCGACGCACAGGTGGAGCTTGGTCATCGGGTTGCCAGCAAGTTACGCACCGAGTGTTGAACAGGTAAACAGACTGTCAGTGTCTTTTTATTTCTTATTAGCCCCTCCAATAAAGGTCCCATACTTATGAACAGGGGAATTGTGTCAGCGCCTCCTCTGCGCTCTTATGCTGTGGTTGTGGGAGCGTAAAGTGAAGTGCGCACACGCGTACCACCATGTGGTTTGTTTTGGTTCTTCGGTGACGCCGTATGTGCACGTGTACTTGTATTAACAGATCCACTTAGACTCGTTGCTTCACAACTGCTGTAAATTGAGTTTTGGGATGTAAACTGCGTTAATAATCTGTTGTGAATCTGCATGGGCACCGATTGCAGCTTCATCTGTCAGTGCGGCCCGCGGTAGGGGGTGGGATTGTGCGTACATTGCCGCACTGACCTCTAAAGTATTCTGATTCCTGACCTAGTCGCTGGAGAGAAAGGAAATTGAGCGGAGGCACAAGGTGGCACCAGCCTGGCTAGTAACTTCCATCCAGTGCCATCAACCATGGCAATGATGGATAAGTATGCAATACTGTGGAACATTCCTTGTAAAGCCATAAGATCTTCATGAAGACAAGTAAGGAAGAAAGTGGTAGACCCTTCTCCAGAATAGACATGTAGTGCAGAAGAACAAGATGTTACAAAAATTGTAGCTCCACAGTTTCCCAACATTTAAAAATTTCCTGGTACATTTGATTCAAAACACTGTTGTATTTGATAGTCATATTTGTATTCAGATGTACTGCTGCTGTTACTGACCTGTGGATGAGAGATAGGGGCTTTATCTGACCAGCAGCCCACCTCTGCTCTGCACACTCTTCTCCCCTTTTTGCCTCACCAACCAAATGCCTCTTTTCAATCCTTTTCTGCGGTGAGCTTACTAGATGTTGTTCTGTTCTTGCCTCTTTCAAAATGATAGTTTGCAGGTTAAAAAGGATTTTTTTGGTAAAAGACTGTTGGCTGCGTGTGGGTCAGAAATGTTAAATACAAGAAAGAAATGTTTATTTAAAATGGCATATTCATGTGCTACTCATTTTGGGGGCACGAATTGACTGAAATTTAAATGAAGATGTGTATTGCACTGTGTCTATGAGTCAGTCGCACACAAGATACATCTTTTTTACATTTGTAAAATCATCTATCGAGTTTCATTGAATTTCATTTGGTGACAGTTGCTCAGTTGGTAGTTTGCCCTCTGTTTCTCTGCGATTCCAGCTCCCACAGATGAATGTTATACAAGACACTTGACCCCAGTGTCTGAGTAGACTGATGTATGAATGTGCAGGTGGTTCCTTTATGTAAACAGCTTTGAGTGCCTTGAAGGTGGAAAAGCCCTATAAATAATTTGACATGATGTGACCATTGTCAAAAAGTAGAAGTTAAATTTAGTTGTTAAAAATGATTACAGCTACATTCATTGAGGAGCACCCAGTTTGTTTTTAAATTAGAAGATGGTGTGTGATAATTAAAATCTACTTGCAAATTTGAAACAGAAACAATATAATAATTTGAGCACTGTCCATATACTAAAACAGTGACCACTAGATTTCAGCCCTTGTTGAAACAGGTAGTGTCCAGTTTCACCATCTATTCTTTATTAATACGATCATAACAGGACAAACACACAGAATATAAAGCTCTTACCTGAGGGGAAGTGCTCATTAACGGGCCAGTTGTCAACCTGCAGAGTGGCGTTTCCTCCGTTCCTGGTGAATCGCACCAGGTGGTATTTCCCATCATTCACTGCAATGTCCTCCCTCACGCTGATGTCCACTGTGCCGATGTTGAAGGTCACGCCCACTTTGCCTTGTTCCTATAGAAACGAAAAAGTAAAACAGAGCATTTAGGCATGATATCATTAAACTATCAAGTCTGTTTTCTTCACCACAGAAGCAGAAACATCAGTCACTTCAGCATGTCCTCCTGCTCCACTTACTTCATAACACTGTTCTGGTTTTCAATTATAGTATAGAGACATATTTTTGTAAAGTTTGTGAAAAAAACAAAACAAATGACTGGGGATGCACAGATACGATACTGGTACTGGATATAGGCGCCAATATTGAACATATTGATGGATCGGATAATGGTTCCAGGATATTGGTTCAGTCCATATTGGTTCAGACGGTATCCCATTTTGGTCTATAAATTGGTGTATTAAGATGATTTATTGCCAATGTTTGCCCAAAACACCTCATAATATTTACCTTATGTTTTTTCCAAGATGTTCTGTAATTACTTTATATGATAAATAACATAAATAACAGTTGCAAAACACATTTGAATGTAAAAGGAAATAAATCATATTTTCTGTCTCTGCTCTGGTATCGGCTGATAATGGGTAACGGCAGATACTTAAAGCCATAACATCAAGACTGGTATAGAAATAGAAAAAAACTGGATTGGGGCATCCCTACAAATTACTACTACTGCTACTGCTACTGCTACTGCTGCTGCTGCTACTACTACTACTTAAAAAAAATGTAACTTGGTTAAAATTGTCCAGTTACGGTAGTATTAACTAAGTCTAGCTCAAGATCTGGAGATGGGTTGGTGCACTATGGCCCTAACTCCTCTAATCAGGTTGCTGCCTTGAAGAATGAGTCAAATACAGATAGATGACCAGTTTCCCTATGGATACAATAAAATGTACCTCAACCTACACCTTCTGCATTCCAAACAATTACACCCGAATCACAAAGCTAAATTCCGAATGGCGTTGCACATGGCTGCTTCCGACCTGCACTAATGGTACGCTATTCTCTCCAACCTGCGGCAACTAGCATGCTACGCTTCATTATACCCCCATAATGTGATGCGACCAGGCTGCCAGCGCGCTTTGTAATGATGAGTAATGTCCCCGGCTTCCTGTCACTGCAAAACTAACATGACATAAGCCTTTTCTACAAGCTTTTACCGACGCCACTACGCCATATGTTTCCATGGCATGCTAAAGCTGCTAAACTAATCCATAAATCTTTACCGCTGTTGCTTCTTTCTGCTAGCAATGACCCCACTAATTTTTACAAGCAGGTCATGTAGTTTTATAACCCGAGTGCTCATGGGAAGTGTAGGAGTTACAAGAAAAAGGTTTTTAGAGGCAAGGGAAGGCATGGTAATTTGAGTGGTGGAGTTATCGAAATGCAATGTTTTTTACAACAAAATAAAAAAAAATTGAAAGAATATAAATCCTAGAATACACTCAAACATTATGAGTCAAAAAATCACTAGTTCAATAATGGCCCTTTAGGAAACAAGGCATATCTTAGTGAGCATCAATTAGCTGGTTCTACAAAGTGAGAACTAAAACTACTTTATAATTTCTTTTATCCATATATTGTACAAAGTTTGACTACAGACTACATATTTCACACAAAGTCCTCCAACAGCTTAGACCTTGGATATCTTTAACTTAAACAGTTTACAATGCATTTCGCTGAGTGCTTTTGCTGCACATTTTTGCCGCAAGCCAATAAAACCGAATCTTCAGCGATCAATGCAAGACAAATATTAAGTTTTAAATCAACTTTTATAGTATACAAAAGTGGAGCAGCTGGGAACCTGCAACACAAACCACCTTTTAATATCCTGACATTTTTGTTTCTATGCATTTTAAGAGCGATGTATATTTAGAGTAAGGTGAGGACAGTACAGTCGCAGAGGCCAATATTTCTTCCCCTTAAAGAAGTACAAAGTTGTCCACAATGCATGATAAATACTGTGATTTATGGCCCACCGGAGTCGTGCGGTGACTGTATACTCTACAGTCTAACTCTACAAACCCTTTTTATCAAGTCTCCGAGGCTGGGTCAAGACCAGCGAAGAGTCTATTTAGGTCAGAGAATGAAAGTACGCAGTATAACAAAGAGTAATATATTCTCAACTGCATACAATGGACTTAGCAGAAAGTTTGATAAGATTAGGACACTTTATGAGTTCATTTTGCACTAGAGGCAACAGACAACTCAAAGGTTCTACAATATATTACTCAAAATGAATACTTGTGAACTTAAAGTCATGTTATAATGTTGTTACCTCATCAAAACATAGCTGGAGTTGTGTTTTATTTCATTCACACATGTTTGAGTAAGTGTTTATTATTAGTCTGTCTACACCTCCAAAGCTCAAAATACTCTATTCCACCTTGTGATGTTATGAAGTGGTAATTTTCATGTTAACAGCTACTTTTTACCTTTAGCTCAGTAGAAATGGCCAGTTCCAGGGCTGAGATCATTCAAATGATTCTAGTGAAGGTGAATGTTACGTCATAAACCAGGAAGACGTTTGGAAAGATGCGATTACAATTTCTAGTGTAGTTCCCGACACTGCGCTCGCCGACAGACTGTGACAAAACCCATTGAAGCAAATGTCATCAGTGGTAAATGAAGACTGCATACGTATGTGCTGTTTGGAATCATCTTGAATTTGATAATCTGGTAGATAATCTTGTATGTATCCAGTGTGCTCGGAGTTGTGCGTCAGCAGGAAAATGATGAAAACCGAGGTATGATTGTAATTGTTGATTAGCCGAACATAACGGAACGCGACAATGACATGAAAAAACAAAACTGGGCCATTTTCTAATTTTTCCTAGATTTTGTCAGGCTTACTACAGCCATCAGATCCCGCCAGAAGTCGTAATCGCATCTTTCCAAACATCTTCCTGGTTTATGTCATAAAGGTGAATAGAGCATGTTCGTTTTTAAAAAAAACACACACAGTAGAGCATGGCCTGTATTACCACATGACATCACAAGGTGGAACAAGTTGTTTTCATTTTGAGAGACATACTCAGCCTGAATATGCAGAGTTTGTGCGTTGTGAATGAAACAAAACACAACTTGGGGTATGTTTTTCGATAAGGAAACAACATTGTAACAGTTCAGAAAATGTTGTAATATGGGCCCTTTAACCAGCGTACGAAACAACATATCCTGATTGCAAAGTGCCCAGATGACTAGCAACAAAATGTTTTCTTTCTTCCTTGGACAAACAAGGGATTACACTGTCTTATTCCATATATAAAAGTACAAATATAATAAATAAAACACTGATTCATAAATGCATAGAGTTGGCTAATAACGTAATGTGGGTGAAGACATGAAAAAGCCATCTCCTAAAAGCCTTAGCAGGGCTGTGAGTGAAAGCGTAGTACGAGAATTAGCACTTAGCATCTCCGGAGTATGCTAATGCACATTTAATTCACGCAGTTAACATTAAAATTAGATCTCAAAAAAAAGAAAAAATGTGTCAGCTTTTTTAGCCTAGTATAAAGTGTGTATCTTTGCAGGCTTAAAGTAGGAGAGGTTGTAATTTAATGTGACTTGGTGCTTGGCGTAGCGTGAAAAAATACTACGAAAGCATCTCTCGCCCTTTCTGGTTAATGACGGGACCTTTCCATGTAATAAAAACACAACATGTCTCGCGAAGCACATGGAGGACATCAAACCTGAACCTCCACAATGACCTTGGGAGCCGTCAGAGGCATCAAAGCCCAATCAGAGACCCTCTAATGTGGAGAGACAAAAGTAGATGCTCCCCCTTCTTGTGTCATTATCAACAACAAAACAATATTGCACACCTTTTGTAACTATTAAAGTATGGCTCAATTATCAACTGTTCAAAAGTGTGTCATAAATTATTTACAGACAGAATAGCAAAATAAAAACACCAGGATCATGTAGAGTGGGTTAATATGAACATTTTAAGACCAAAATGGCGAGGCTCAACGCAGCAGTTATAGAGAGAGGGGAGAAGATTTTTCAATATGAAGTCAATTGGAGCCACAGTCGATGGAGCCAGAAGTGTCCCCATGCTCACTTCCTATTTAGAATGCGGCAGCTAGCAGGTTAGCTATATCCATTTATATATACAGCACAATCTATAGTTACAAGGTCTTTAGTTGTTGTTAAGATAGGCTTTTTTAGTGACAGTGATTATTTTACTTCATTATTCTTTCCAAAGTGCAATATTGGAGATCTATAATGACAGTGCTGTGGTCATGACAGGGGGTAGGTGAAAAATGAACATTTTCTTATAATGCAGAATTACTCAAACATGCAAAAAATACTTAAAACGCAACTTTGTTTAAGCTTATGGTGTGGCAATTCCATTATAGTGTGGTTAAACATTATAAAAATCAATTGTGCATTTTATGACTACTTTAAAGTAATGTTAAAATGATGTCAGTGACTGGGACATCCATGGAAATTGATAATAAAAATCTAAATTGAAATGACTTGTTTTGATTTCAATAGTTAAAGGTGCACTGAGCAGTGTCTACTAACTACCTGTCTCCATGGGGATGTTAGTGCTTTGCCTAAAATGTTCCATGGTATGACATTAAACATATGCATCTAGCATTTATTCATTATGGGTGTTTCTATTGTGAGGAGGGGACTCTCCACAGATCTAAATTGTAATGTAGCATAGTGCTGAAACCTACTCGTCACACTTGTGATAGATAGGTTTAATCTATACTCTGGAACATTCTAGACCCGGGGTCTCCATCCTTTTTCCTCTGGTGAGTTACCTTTACAAAACTGAAATGCCAGAGAGCTACTAATTTTAGTGGTTGTAAGAAACTGAGTAAATATAACAGCCACACCCACCGTTAGACGAGGAAGTTGTATGTATTTAAAACATAAATCATTATCCATTTATTAGTGCATAAAGTTAGGTATCAAAATTACACATTTACAATAGTAATTCAAAAAATGTATTTATTAAGCACAATTCAGAAATCCTTTGGTGAGCTACTTGGAAGAGGGTGAAGAGCTGCTGGTAACTCCTGAGCTACAGTTTGGAGACTCC